GAGAGATGTATATGGGGGGGGGGGGGTTCTTGGCGCAGAACTCAGCAGGAAGCGCAGCGCGGTAGCGAGTGTCACTAGTGCGGAGGTGCGTAATGAGGTCAGCGACAGTGGGAAAGGCAGTGAGATCAGGAAAGAGGTACGGTAGCATGAGGCGGCTCAGTGCAGCAGTGGCAGGGGAAGAGTAGCGCGCAACTACAGCGTCGTACAAGGTCTGAGCACTCTTGTACTGACTAAAGTGCGCGCGCTCAGTGGTGGGCAAGTGGCGACGCACAGCAAGACGTGCAGCAGCATCGCGGGTGGCCCACTGAGAGCGAACAGTGGGGTCAGCATCAGTAGCAGGGGAAGGAGAGGCACCAGAGGTAAGGTCAAAGAGGGAAAGGCCGTCTGCCCTATCGCACTGTAAGAACAGCTGCAGGTCGTCGACCCAGACCTCAAAGTCAATGGCTCGACCCTCAGCGTCAAAAGTGAGGACACTGGGGGTAGCCATGACGACAGACTAGCAGTGCAAGCAGTGTGGGAAGGGCACGCAGTAGCAGTGGGGCGGGGCTGTGCTCACCAGACAGGATAGGTCGGGCGGTGCGGTAGCAGGGCGGCTCGGCGGCTCGGCGGCTCCTGGGCGGCTCGGCTGCTACTGGGCGGCTCGGCTGCTCCCGGGCGACTCGGCTGCTGCTGGGCGGCTCGGCTGCTGCTGGGCGGCTCGGCAGCTCCTGGGCGGCTCGGCTGCTCCCGGGCGGCTCGGCTGCTGCTGGGCGGCTCGGCTGCTGCTGGGCGGCTCGGCAGCTCCTGGGCGGCTCGGTTGCTGCTGGGCGGCTCGGCCGCTGCTAGGCGGCTCGGCGGCTCCTGGGCGGCTCGGCTGCTCGCGGGCGGCTCGGTTGCTGCTGGGCGGCTCGGCCGGTGCTAGGCCGCGTAGGTAGGGCGGCTGGGCCGCGAAGGTAGGGCGGCGGGTGGGCCGCGAAGGTAGGGTGGCGGGTGGGCCGCGAAGGTAGGGCTGCGGGTGACCACAAGTAGGGCGGCGGTAGGGCCGCAGGTAGGGCGGCGAAGGGCCGCAGGTAGGGCGGCAGTGGGGCCGCAGGTAGGGCGGCTGATGGGCCGCAGGTAGGGCGGCGAAGGGCCGCAGGTAGGGCGGCGGGTGGGCCGCGAAGGAGTGGCAGGGCCGCTCGAAGGGGTGGCGGGGCCGCGACGGAGTGGCGGGGCCGCTCGAAGGGGTGGCGGGGCCGCGTCGGAGTGGCGGGGCCGCGCGAAGGGGTAGCGGGGCCGCGACGGAGTGGCGGGGCCGCTCGAAGGGGTGGCGGGGCCGCGACGGAGTGGCGGGGCCGCGCGAAGGGGTAGCGGGGCCGCGACTGGGTGGCGGGGCCGCGACGGGGCGGCGGGGCCGCTACGGAGTGGCGGGGCCGCGGCGGGGCGGCGGGGCCGCTAGCAAGGGCGGCGGGTGGGCCGCGAAGGTAGGGCGGCGTTTGGGGCCGCAAGTAGGCCGGCGGCTGGGCCGCGAGTAGGGCGGCGGCCGGGCCGCGAAGTAGGGCGGCGGTCAGGCCGCAGGTAGGGCGGCGAACGGCCGCAGGTGGGGCGGCGGTGCCGCGACGAAGAAGCGGCGGGGCCGTGAAGGAAAAGGGCGACTCGGAGGGTCGCTAAAAAAAAGGCGCGCGCCTCGGGTGCGCTTCGGTGGGCCCTAAAGAACAGTCCCTAGGATGGGACCTGCTCTGATTCCATGTGAAGAAAGGAACATGAATGGAATGACTATGAACGAAGTGAGTACAAATAGGAAACCCTAATTGGGTTGTACCCCCTATGGGATACCCCACTATAGCCTACACAAACAAGTAAGCTACAATGTTCTGACACAGGTAAAGAAATCCTTCCCGTCGAAGGGTTTTGTTGTTTGCAGTTTTAGAACGTGCGCGAACTGCGACTGAACTTGTAGTGCGTCCAGCGTTCTCTCTTGCCCCGATGCAGGTTGTGGTTGTGGCATGAAACTGGGGCTCGTACGGAGCGAAGGTAGGTTGCTGTTGTTGGTTCCCGTGTGCGTAGGATGAGCCGTCAAGACTCATGGGTGTCACGTTGTTGTTGTTGTTGCTTGATTGCGCAAGTGCTCCTTGCTGATGCTGCTCGTAGAAGGACATGAAGGAGAAGAACTTCTCCATCATGCTTGGATCGAAGCCCGCGCCTTGGTTTGCGGGTGTTTCAGTAGACCCAGCTGCTGGTCTCGTTGTTGTGCCTTCCTCTGTCTGTAGGCCAGAGGCAGGAGGTGGAGTAGGAGTAGTACCAGGAGAGCCGTTCGAGGAGCTCCTCTCCTTTCTGGTAGACATGTCTCTTGGTGTATTAGGTGTTAAGGAGAGATGATTTTAACCCTAACCTGCTCTCATACCATGTTGGGCTGAGTGCCCCTTAGGATCTTTGGTAGGGTCAAACTCTAGGTAGAGTGATGTGGTAGCGGAAGCGTTAATAAAGAGGTTCTGAACCACCTTGCGCTAGTATGTGAGGGCAAAGTAAGTTGATTAAAGCAAGGAGATCCAAGATTATATAAGAGTACAAGGAATACGAAGAGATATGGTTGCAACTATTTTAACTGTTGCTGTTGCGGTTCGTGTGTAATAACTGAACAGGAATGAATGACTAAGTCAGAGTTGGGTACAAATACAACCCTAGAAAGCTGTACCCCATATGTGCTACCCCACTATAGCCTACAAACATGCATCAGCTATAATAATCTGACACACCCCCATAGGCAAAGTGGGGGAGAACAAGGGGTCACAAGACCAGTCAAGCAAAGCAAAGCAAAGCAGGCTCAGGGTGGATCACAAAGTCACCACACAGTCCGAGCACAAGAGCAGGGCCAGAGGCCAGTTCACATGCAGGAGTACAGGCATATATATAAAACTAGACAAGCAGGAGCAGGTATATATATGTCACAGTACAAGTAAATTCAAGAGGAGAGCAAGTGAGGCAAGACAGGCACAAGACCCAGCTGGGTGCAAAAGCGCTGATGGTCACAAGGCGCGAGTGCCTTGGTGAACACATCAGCAGTGTTGGCCTCAGAGGCCACGTACGCAAGTCGCAACTGACCACGCTGCTGCAGCTCACGAGCAAGGAAGTAGCGGAGAGCAATGTGCTTCGTCCTGTGCTCCAGACGCTGCTCTCGACACAAGGCCAGCATGGCCTTGTTGTCTACGTACAGCACTGGAGGAGAACGAGGCACCTCTCCAAGGTCAGTCAGCAGGTAGGTGAGCCAGCGAGGCTCCTGTGCAGCCATGGCCCCAGCGTAGATCTCAGCCTCACAACTGGAGCTGAGAACCGAAGACGAGCGAGTAGCCCGCCACGAGACAAAGCCGGAACCAAGACTGAAGGTGTAACCCTGTGACGACCGCTGCGTAGCCTGGTCGTCAGCCCAAGAAGCGTCCGCGTGCCCTGTAAGGACCACTGGACTCCGCCCTCCAAGCACTAGCCCCATGCCCGACGTACTGCACAGGTAGCGCAACACCCTCTTCGCTGCAGCCATGTGCTCTGGTCGGTGTCTCCCAGGAGCAACATAGCGTGCAAGAATGCTAAGAGGGTATGCAAGATCAGGTCGTGTGCAGGTCATCAGGTACATGAGGCAGCCAACAAGCTCTGGGTACGGGCCACTCGACTCTACGGACTCATCCGAAGGCAGAGCTGAGAGCGAGTGGCGAGTAGACAGAGGAGTGGCCTGAGGCGAGGAGTACGTGAAGCCGAAGCGCTGAAGGACCTGCTGCACCATGTGTGACTGAGTCAAGGTAATGGTGCGGCGTGCTCTGTCCCGAGTGATCTGCAAGCCAAGGTAGCTGCGCAGTTCACCCAGGTCTGTGCACGTGTGTCTCTTCAGCAGCTCGGACTTCACGTAGGCGAGTCCAGCAGTGTCCGCTGTGGCAAAGACCAAGTCGTCAACGTACACGAGGATGTAGAACTTCGGCAGAGAAGTGTCGGTGCGCAGAAACAGCGACGGTTCAGCAGTAGAAGGAGCAAACCCAAGAGCCGCAAGCGTAGTCCTCAGTGTGTCGTGCCACTCACGCGGTGCCTGGCGGAGACCGTAGACTGGCCGTCGGAGGCTCCACTGGGTGCCAGGAGGGAAAGTCCCAGTGAAGCCAGGTGGACGGCGCAGCCAGATCTCCTCGTGCAGGCTACCCTGCAGGAACGCAGTGCTGAAGTGAAGAGAGTGAAGCTCGTAGTCGCGCTGAGCGGCTATGTGCAGCAGCACCCGAAGAGTCGTCATCTTCGGGGTGGGAGAGAAGGTCTGAAAGTAGTCAACTCCCTGCCGCTGACTGAAGCCACGAGCAACGTACCGCGCCTTGAAGACAGGTGGAGAGCCCGGCGGCCGCTTCACCCTGAAGATCCACATGCCACTGACGATGTTCGCCCCAGGAGGGGGAACAGCGTCAACGTAGGTGCCTGTGGACTTCCAGGAAGCCATCTCTGCATCCATAGCTGCCTGCCACTGAGAGGAGTAGGGACCCTCTACGGCCTCCGCGTAAGAGCGCGGAGTCGGGATGTCTAGTGCATCCGGGTCTCCCTCAGGAGCAAGCAGTATAGACGCGAGATGAGGTGAAGCAGCAGCCAGACACTGTAACTCCTCCTGCCTGTCCTCTAGGACGTCCGTGCCAAGAGCACACTCACCCCCGACGGACGGAGGACAGACAGACGCAGACTCAGCAACAAGACTAGCAGCGTAGTCTAGACGACAGCGAGCAGCAAAGTCAACGAGCTCAGCGACAAGAGCAGACGCAGCAGTGGACTCAAAAGAGGGGTCAGTGACGAAAGTAGCAAGCAGACGCGTGACAGTAGGACTGGCAGCACGAAGAAAGTCCGACTCAGGGTCGGCAAGCGCAGGAAGAGAGGAGTCAGGGGGAGAAGGCAAAGGGGCACGCAGAGGAGTAGTGGACGGACGCAGAGACATCCGGTGCGTGCTAGGGACAGGAGGAGGACGCTGACGCGAACCGCGACCACTAGTGCGAGCAGCACGAACAGGCGACGCAGGACGAGACGCAGGCTCACGACGCTTAGCAAGACCTCCAGTAGGACCAGTGTAAGGAGAGGGAGCAGGCAGTGGAGAGGAAGGCTCCAACAGTGACTGCGACAGGACAGGCTGTGGACACTCTACCGGAGGAGAAAGACCAAGAACCTGCTGCAGGAGTGGAACGAAGTACGGCCGAGGCCGCGCGGCAACTCCAGACTCAGCAGGGACAGCACCAGCACCCTCGGCGACAGCACTAGCGCCACCAGCACCTCCAGCAGCAGGACCTCCAGCAGCACCAGCAGCAGAACCACCGCCAGGACAGACAGCAGCTGTCTGAGCACCAACACCCTCAGCAGCTCCAGCTCCAGTAGGACCCGCAGGCCCAGCAGCTCCGGGACCGGCAGGACCAGCACCCTCGACGGTCGAAGAAGCTCTAGCTCCAGCAGCATGCCTCCAGCGGCGAGCAAACCACTCGCGCAGCTCCTGTGGAGAGAGGGGCTCCCGGCGAGACGCAGCAGCAGGAGAAACCCCAGGCTCAGCAGCTCCAGACGCAGCACCCCCAGGCGCAGCAGCTCCGGACTCAGCACCCCCAGGCTCAGCAGCTCTAGGCACAGCACCCCCCGGCTCAGCACCCCCAGGCGTAGCACCTCCAGTCTCAGCACCCCCAGGCTCAGCACCCCCAGGCTCAGCACCCCCAGGCTCAGTACCCCCCGCAGTAGCACCCCCAGGCCCAGCACCCCCAGGCTCAGCACCCCCAGTAGCAGCACCTCCAGGCTCGGCACCCCCGCGCACAGCACCCCCAGAGTCAGCACCCCCAGGCTCAGCACCCGCAGCAGCACCAGAGTCACCAGTAACCTCGACCGGGTCAACGGCGTCTACCTGGGACACACCTGAGGGGGCAAGAACCTGAGGGGGGAGGGGGTCTACCGGGGGGGGAACCGGCACAAGGAAGTCCGGTGGAGGGGGGAGGGAAGGAGTGCGGTAGGGGAAGAGGCGGTAGAAGGGGACTGACTCGTCGAACGTGACGTCCTGGGAGGACAGAACACGACGAGAGGAGGGGTGGTAGAACTGCCACCCGGGAGCGTCTGTGGGGAAGCCAAGAAAGACACAGGGAGCAGCACGAGGGGACAGCTTGTCCGCAGACAAGTCGCGGACAAACGCCCGAGATCCCCAGACACGGAACGCCGACGCATCACCAACCTTCCCCGTCCACATCAAGACTGGGGACATCGCGGGCCGAGAGACCCTGGGGTGAAGGTTGATCTGATGCGCGGCGTACCGAACCGCAAACGGCTACAGAAAATGGGGGGCAGCCGCATGCACCATGGACGTGCGGGCGACGTCCATGACAATGCCGATGCGGCGCTCAGCAATCCCATTCTGCTGTGGAGAGTCCGGAAGCGTGAAGGTCTGGCGGATGCCTCGTGCCCGACAGTAGGCGCGCAGAAGGCCAGAGGAGAACTCTCCGCCTCTGTCCGAGTGTAGACGGAAAACAGGAAAATCCGAGCCAAAGCTCTTCCTGAGCTGGAGACGAGCTGCGCGGATCCAGTCGATCAACACCTCAGTGACCTCACCCTTGCTGCGCAAGGGGAAGACTGAGGTGTAACGCGTGTAGTCGTCAACCACCAGCAGGAAGTAGCGCTCGTGACCCTGTCCACCGACGCGGGCTGGGCCCCACACGTCCATGTGAAGCGTCTGCATCGGGGCCTCCGTCGGAGGAAACGGGGAGGAGTGAGGGGTAGCCCGCAGGCGACCCTCAACACAGGGGACACAGGGAGGGCCAGGCCCCGGAGGAAGGGGAGGGAGGGACCGGGGAAGACCAGAGACAAGAAGGCGAGAGGCCATGCCCCGGAGACGAGGCAGGGAGGGGTGACCCATCCTGTGGTGCCACAGGAGGGTCTCGTGGGACAGGAGGCGACACGAGCAGGGGGCAGACTCAGGACCAGACCTGGACGCTGCAGCAAACACCTGACCCGACGCAGATACCTGACCAGACGCAGGAGGAGGAGACGGAACAGTGAGTGTGTACAGGCTCGACCCTGGACCACGTGTGAACGTGGTCAGGTGTCGACCCGTGTCCGCGTCCGTGCAGTGGGTGACCCGTCGGCGCGCAGGGGTGAACTGGTCAACCCGTGCATCCTGTAGGTCAGCACCCGCCACCAAGTTCGTGGAGAACGAGGGGAGGTAGAGACCGGACAGGGTGCCAGACGGGACTACAGGAAACGGCAGGACAGTGGAGTAGCGAGCCAGAACAGGACCCCCAGAGGGGTCTGCCAAGGAGACCGCCACTGGCCGACTAAGCGGCGTGAGTGTGGTGCGGTCTCGAAAGAAGGAGCGAGACGCCCCGGAGTCAAGAGTGAAAGTGAGAGAGGGAGAAGTCGACACAGTACCTGAGAGAGCAGACTCACCAGCACCTGAGGACTCAGACTCACTGGCACCTAGAGCAACAGCCTCACCAGCACCTAGAGCAGCAGCCTCAACAGTACCTAGAGCCGCAGTACCAATGCCCGGGTCGGGCGGGAAACACCGGTAACAGTCACCCTCCTCACTAATAGTCACAGCATACATGGCACGAAGAATAGCATCAAAGTCAAGATCAAAGATAGCTACTCCCGCCCTAGACAGCTGGTCCCAGCGAGGGATCTCAGAGGCGTCAGGAAACTGGCGGCGCCAAGCGTCAGTCAGGCGGCCGAAGCAGCGCTGGGTGGAGTGTGGACCACCACACTGCTCACCCGCACGGTCGCCAGTGCGCAGGACGTAAGTGCACGGACCAGCACCCCCACCCCGCTGACGCGCACAGTACCACTCACGGAGCTGCTGCGGGGAGAGGGTCTCCTGACCACGCTGCTGCTGCTGGCGCTGACCACCACCGGAGCCACTCCTCCTCGACGCGCCACGACCTCCGCCGCCTCCTCCGCCGCCGCCGCCACCACCTCCGCCACCACCACCACTCCCACCGTCGCCGCCGCCACCGCCGCCTCCGCCTCCACCCCCACTACCACCGCCGCTGCCGCCACCGCCTCCACTGCCTCCGCCGACACCTCCACTCCCCCCACCACTCCCGCTACCACCCTCACCTCCGCCGCTGCCTCCACCTCCGCCTCCACCGCCCCCGCCGCCTCCACCACCGCCCCTGCCCCCCTTGCTCTTGCCAGAGCGACGTCTCCCGCTGGGGGCAGACGCCGCACCAACCGACTCAAAACCAACAAGGTCGGCCGTAGCAGCAGAGGCGACAGAGGGCAGGAGGGGGGAGGGGGAACACCCCTCAAAGATGGGGGTGCGCGGGTCACCACGAGAGGCCCCTACAGCGAGAATGCTCTTCTCGGCTGCTAGGAGGGACTTCTCGAGAATCTCGACAGTGAGAGTGGTGGGGCAGACTGCGAGTAGGTCATCCCTGACTCCGCGAAGGGAGTCAGGGAGGCGGGTGACAATGTAGTAGAGAGTGAAGTACTGGGGGGGGGGGGGGTTCTTGGCGCAGAACTCAGCAGGAAGTGCAGCGCGGAAGCGAGCGTCACTAGTGCGCAGGTGGGTAATGAGGTCAGCTACTGTGGCAAAAGCAGCAAGGTCGGGAAAGAGGTACGGTAGCATGAGGCGGCTAAGTGCAGCAGTGGCAGGGGTGGAGTAGCGTGCGATAACGGCGTCGTACAAGGTCTTAGCACTCTTGTACGAGCCAAAGTGCGCACGCTCAGCGGGAGGGAGGTGGCGACGCACAGCAAGACGTGCAGCAGCATCGCGTGTGGCCCACTGTGAGCGAACAGTGGCATCCTCAGTAGCAGCAGGGGCGGGAGAGGCACCAGAAGTGAGATCAAAGAGAGAGAGTCCGTCAGCTCTGTCGCACTGTAGGAAAAGCAGTAGGTCGTCTACCCACACGTCAAAGTCAATGGCTCTGCCCTCAGCGTCAAAGGCGAGGACACTGGGGGTAGCCATGACAGCAGTAGAGAGAGGGCAGTGCGCAGAGTAAAGCTCAGTGCTCACCAGAAAGGGCAATGCAGGGAGGGCTCGGGCAGCTCGGGCGGCTCGACTGCTGGGCGGCTCGGGCGACACTGCAGCTGGGGCGACTCGGCTGCTGGGGCGGCTCGGCTGCTGGGGCGGCTCGGCTGCTGGGGCGGCTCGGCGGCTGGGGCGGCTCGGCTGCTGGGGCGGCTCTGCCGCTGGGGCGGCTCGGCCGGGAGATGCAGGGGCGGGGCCGTAAGGTGCAGCGGCGGGCCGTCAGGGTGCAGCGGCGGGCCGTCAAGTTGCAGCTGCGGGCCGGTAGGTGCAGCGGCGGGGCCGTTAGGTGAAGTGGCGGGCCGCTGGGTGAAGTGGCGGGCCGTAGGGTGCAGCGGCGGGGCCGTCAGGTGAGGCGGCGGGCCGTGGAGTGCAGTGGCGGGCCGGCAGGTGCAGCGGCGGGGCTGTCAGGTGAAGCGGCGGGCCGCTAAGTGCAGCGGCGGGCCGTAGGGTGCAGCGGCGGTCCGGCAGGTGCAGCGGCGGGGCCGTCAGGTGAGGCGGTGGGCCGTAGGGTGCAGCGGCGGGCCGTAGGGTGCAGCGGCGGGCCGGCAGGTGCAGCGGCGGGGCCGTCAGGTGAGGCGGCGGGCCGTAGGGTGCAGCGGCGGGCCGTAGGGTGCAGCGGCGGTCCGGCAGGTGCAGCGGCGGGCCGGCAGGGCCGCGTCAGAGGCGGCGGGGGGGGGGGGGGGGGGGGGGGGGGGCGCGTCAGTGGAGGCGGCGGGGCCGCGTCAAGCAGGCGGCGGGGCCGCGACGTAGCGGGCGGCAGGGCCGCGTCAGAGCCGGCGGCGGGGCCGCTTCAGTGGAGGCGGCGGGGCCGCGTCAAGCAGGCGGCGGGGCCGCGATCAGGAGGGGTGGCGGGGCCGCGTCTGAGGGACAGCGGGGCCGCGAGGGAAATGGCGACCCGAGGGGTCGCTAAAAAAAATGCGTGCCTCGGGGCGCGCTTCGGTGGGCCCTAAAAAAACGGTCCTTAGGAAGGACCCGCTCTATACCATGTGTAGTAACTGAACAGGAATGAATGACTAAGTCAGAGTTGGGTACAAATACAACCCTAGAAAGCTGTACCCCATATGTGCTACCCCACTATAGCCTACAAACATGCATCAGCTATAATAATCTGACAGTTCGATACAGTGACGACCTGGGCAACTGCTCTGTAGCGAGTCAGTTGTGTGTCCTTGCTGTCGCGCTGTACTTGTCAGGTCAAAGGTCAGCGACCTTTGACTTTCGCGTAACCTCCAACGGTTGCTTCAACCTCCGAGGGTTGACTCGCCGGTGCCTCGATATGCTTCGCTTCGTTTGTGCCTTAGTGTTTTGACACGACAGAGGCACTTAAGACCGATTGTTTCCAACATCCTCCTCAATGAACCTGCGTATTCCAAGACAAGAGTTTGTTGGGCTGAGAATTCCCTTAGGATCTTTGCATGGCTGAACTCTGAATAGGGCTTGTTGTACTTAGCGGAAGCTTAATGAGATGTGTTTGAACCACCTTGCGCTAGTATGTGAAGGCAAAGTTGATTGATTAAAGCAAAGAGATACAAGATTATATAACAGTACAAGGAATACAAAGAGATACGGTTGCAACTACTTTACTGTTGTTGTTGCGGTTCAATACAGTGACGACTCGGGCAACTGCTCTGTAACGAGTCGGTTGTGTGTCCTTACTGTCGTGCTGTACTTTTCAGGTCAAAGGTCACTGACCTTTGACTTTCGCGTAACCTCTAGCAACTGCTCAACCTCCGAGGGTTGACTCGCCGGTGCTTCGATATACTTGGCTTCGCTTCTGACTTGGTGTTTCGACACGACAGAGGCGCTTAGAATTAATTGTTTCCAACACTCCCCTTTGTCAAACACTATATGTGTTATTGTTATGTAGGCTATAGTGGGTTAGCCTTTAGGGGATACACGAAGCTAGGGTTTACTACTTGTACTCCAACTTTTCATAGTTCAATCACTTCTCATTCTTGACATGGTACCGTAATACCCTGGATATAAGCGCACCTCCGCTTATAATAAAACAGTGTTTTTTGGGGGGGTGCGCTTATAATTGAGTCAGATTTATAAGCTCATGCACTTAAATAATAACAAATGCAAATTTATAGTTCATTGGCACCAAACTGTACATCTCTTTCTTGTGATTTCAATCGAATCAAAGTGGTAGCGAGTCGCAATTCAGATTCGCGCGTGAGCGATTTTCTGCCGGCGCACAGGGGAAAATATACACGTCACTATCAGAAATGCCAGCTCATAGTGACTGGACGTGCAGTATGTGAGGTCCTCGAAAGCCAATCGAAGCGAAAATAGTTGTATCCTCACTGCAAAATTTGAAATCGCTACCGTTTTAATCTGGTTTAAAATTTAGAATTATACGTGCGCTTATAATAAATCAAGGTTTTACAGGGGGTGCGCTTATAAATGAGGATCGGCCATAAGCGCATTGCTCCAGATACAAGCGCATGTGCTTATAATAGGCCTGCGCTTATATCCGGGGCCATACGGTTTTAAGAGCTTAGGTTATAGACCTAGGACTCACCTAAGGGCCCACCGTCAGAAGCACCCTCGAGCGCCTTATCGTCCTAGCGCCCTCGAGCGCCGTTCTCCTAGTGCGCCCTCGTGCGCCTCGTCTTCTCCTGCTGCCTGTGCGCGGCTCGCTAGTGCCGCGCGCGGCCTTTTTTTTTCCCGCGCGTCGCCCCCTAGCAGCCCGCGCGCGGCCGTTTCTGAGTGCGCGCCGCCCGTTAGCCGCCCACGCCGCCACGAGCAGCTTGCCGACCGGCCCTCCTGGCCCGTGTAGCCCGCTAGCGACCGGCAGCCCCGCCCGTAGGCCGCCGCGACGCCCTCTCTAGGCCGCCCGCGCGCTAGTAAGGCCCACGAGCAGCCACGACCCGCCCGCTACAGCCGCCCACGCGCACGCCCCCACGCGCGCATCCCCGCGTAGCCCAGACCGAACCGAGCCGCGCCGCCCGAACCGAGCCGCGCCGCCTGAACCGAGCCGCGCCGCTCTAGCTGAGCCGCGCTGCCCGAACCGAGCCGCGCCGCCCTATCCGAGCCGCGCCGCCCTACTGTGCCCCACCTGCAGCAACTCTTGTTCCTGTTCCTACTAAACTACTGCTACTACTGCTACTGTTCCTACTGCCACTATGGCCACCCCATCCATTCTCACCTTTGACGCTGAGGGTCGCCCGATTAAGTTTGAGGTGTGGTTAGATGACTTTCACCTGTTCCTCCAGATCACTGCCAAGGACGATGTCTCCCTGTATGACCATACGCAGGCGCTGCTCCCGCACCTCCCGCTAATGCTGACAGTGCTGCTCGCTCCCAATGGCAGGCCCGTGATGCACACGCTCGCCTAGCCGTTCGCAGTCACCTACCGTTAGATGAGCGCGAGCACTTCGGACAACATAAGACCGCCAAGGAGCTGTACGACGCAGTAGTCGCATGCTACTCCTCCCCTGCCATAGCTGCTATAGGCCGTCTCTCACTGCCCTACCTCTTCCCCGACCTGTCCGCCTTTGCCACTGTAGCTGACCTCATCACCCACCTCCGTACGAGTGACCTCCGCTACCGTGCCGCGCCCCCGCCCCCCCGATTTCCTCGCCAAGAACCCCCCCCCCCCCCCCCCCCCCCCCCCGATGTACCTCACACTGTACCACCTTGTCACCCACCTCCCTGACTCCCTTTGCACAGTAAGGGACCAGTTTCTCGCCCTCTCTCCCACTGACCTCACTGTCGATCTTCTCGAGAAGGAGCTCCTAGCAGCTGAGAAGAGCATTGTAGCTGTAGGAGCCTCTCGTGGTGACCCCCGCACCCCCTTCTTTGAGGGGTGCTCCCCCTCCCCCCTCCTCCCCTCCATTGCATCTGCTGCTGCTGTCGACTACCTCGGAGCTGAGGAGGTCGGGGCCGCGTCTGCTCCTAGTGGGAGACGCAAGGGCGGCAGGGGCAAGGGGGGCAAGGGTGTTGGAGGTGGGGGTGTGGGCGGCGGTGGTGGAGGAGGTGGGGGGGGCGGGGGTGGTGGCGGGAGTGGGAGTGGCGCGGGTGGTGGGGGGGTCAGTGGCGGCATAGGGGGTGGTGGCGGCGGCGGCGGTGGTGGGGGTGGTGGAGGCGGTGGTGGCAGTGGTGGCGGCGGTGGAGCGGGTGGCGGGCGCGGTGGAGCAGTGCAGCGTGGGGGGTTTGGCGGCGGCCAGAGGCAGCAGCAGCAGCGCCCCGGCGGGACTACCTCGCCCCAACAGCTCCGTGAGTGGTACTCTCAGCGTGGGGGGTCTGGGGGAGGGGGTACCTGCCCGTATGTCATCCGCATAGGTGACCGCACTGGCCAGACTTGTTGGAGTTTTCATACGGCGCAGCGCTGTTTCTTTCGCCTCGACGACGCCTGGCGCGAGCAGTTTCCTGACGCCTCTGAGCTGCCCCGCTGGGCTGATCTGCTTAAGAAGGGGATTGATATCTTTGCTCTTGATTATGATGCTATTCTTGCTGCTATGTATGCATTGACTATTAGTGCTGAGGGTGACTGTTACCTGAGTGTACCGCCCGACCCGGGCATTGGGATCAGTGAGGCTGCAGCCCTAGGTGCTAGCGTGTCGGCTGCTCTAGGTCCTGGTGAGGCTCCTGCCCTAGGTGCTAGTGCGTCTACGTCTGCTGGTGCCGCACCTACTGAGGCACTGCACACCTTCACACTGGACTCAGGTGCTTCCCGCTGTTTCTTCCGCGACCGCACTGCCCTAGAGCAGCTTCCTCGACTTGTTGCTGTCTCCCTGGCTGACCCCTCAGGGGGTCCGGTCCTTGCGACCTCCACCACTGCCCTCCCTTGTCCTGCTGTCCCGTCTGGCACGTTGTCGGGCCTCTACCTCCCCCTATTCTCTAGGAACTTGGTGGCAGGTTCCGCGCTCCAGGACGCGGGTGTTCACCAGTTCACCCCGGCCTACGAGCGTGTGACGCACTTCACGTGTGCG